AATTCGATATTTCGAAGTCATTGACATCGTTATTCTCAACTGTTGCTTATTCTCAGTCGTTGCTGATTTCTGTTGGCGCCACCTAATCGTCATTGGATCGCCATAATTAATTACATACCTGATTATGCAGATATTCTTTTAATGCCCAAACACGATGAAATTTCTATTTTATAGCATTTTGAAGAATGAATATGTATTATCGTAAATTAATATTATTTGATACGATCGTTATCTACTAACATTAAATATCTACTAACATTAAATAAAGATTGAAAAGATTCCACGATATGAAATTTCCACGATGTGAAATTATTTTGAGAATAGAACCTCATAAAATATATGCAAGAGAATTATTTATTTAGTTAAAAGACAAAGTTTGATTTCTAAAAAAATTTGTTTCTCTTACAATTACACCGAAAAAAAAAGTTTAATAAGAGCTACCGAATTTAATGAAATAATGCCAAAGTAAAATTAGTTTTAATTATATTTATCAAACATTTGATTGGCATTATTTCACTAAATATTTGAGGCTGTTATCAAACTTTTTTTTTTAGTGTAATTTTATAATTCGAAACTTTTTATTATTTTGCTGACTCGAATCAGGTAATAAATTTGTCATTAAAATGACATTCAGGTTTTTTTTTAGACATTCTCTATATATATCATCCTTTCGTCGTCACCATGCGGGCAATAATATCGCAATAATGTGGTCTCGGCTTCGCAAAATCACTCGAGACGAATTCTCGGTAGTACGGTATGCAGAACGAACGAAGGAATGAACAGCGTTGGAATTCGATAAATGTGAAAGCAGATTCGTTCTTTGTAACTGGATCTCTGCAGCACAGCGTATGCTATGCTGCATTGTGCGCTTCACTTTTTCTCACGTATTGAAAGCGTACTTGGAGATGTACATTTATACATGCTGCATTCTAGTTCAATTTCTGCGTTGCAACTTGTCAAGTGCAATTATCAATACTACTACGAAAAAATGCTTTGGCAATACGCGCATAATACAATCGCGAAATATATTATTTATATTCCTATACAAACTAGGTATATATTTGCAGAGCTTCTGTTATTCAACTAATCATCTTGAGGCAAAATTTTTTTCCTCTCAGTACTATTATCTACGTTCATCAACAGAATGAAAAATGTATTTAACTGAATTGGATTTTTAATTACAAATCTTTTTTAATTGTTTTTCTCTTTCTCTTTCTCTCTGAAATATGTAAATACGCATTCGTTTCACTCGCAAGTCTAGAAGAAAATTCAAGAGTATTACTGGATTAGGTAAATGGAGCTTAGTTTCTCGAGATTATTTTCGCGCATCACACTTTAAATTTTCGGACCATTTTTTGGCAGATTCTTTGATTGTATAATTCATTGTTAGTTCGAAATAAAAATCGATCGGATTGATATCCCGGGAGATTCCACAGTTACGATCGTCCGTATGGCATTTGGTGTAGTGTGGGCCGGGTTTCGGACGGTGACTTGGCAAGCGGCGAGCAGACAAGCGAGGGAACAAGCAGGCAAGCCAGGCAGGCAAGCAGACTTTGCCACGAGAGATTGGAATGTCTCCCGTCCTCTCGAATCCGCCCTCTTCTGCTCTCCGCCACGGCCGCCGCGCCGTTGTTGGCTCCCCTCTCGACCTTCTCTCCGCTTCGGGCCCATCGACATCGGCTTCGTGCCGAGGTTGGCCAAGGGGGCAGAGGAATCGACGTAGTACGTGGCGTCGTGGCGGATGGAAGGGAGAGAGGGGCCTTAACGCCGTTCTTTCGAGCGTCAATACATCGTGAAGAAAAGATGCCGGTTCCCCCTGGATCCCTGTCGTTTCGGCCCTCCCCCTTCGGATATTTCGCCCTTTCTTTCTCTTTCTCTCTCTCCGCCCTCCCCCTCCCCTCTCCATCTTGCCCCTCCTCTTCACAACGTCCTCCACAGGTTTCTTCCTCTTCTTCCCTTTCTTTTCTTCTCTCTCTTTATCCCGCTGTTTCTTCTATTTTTCCGCTTGTCTCTGTTTCTCCTGATCTCGCGTAACTCGCACCATGGGACCCTTTTGGCATGGTAGCTACCGGTGTTACGCTCGCGTAGGGCCCCAGGCGGTCCACGAAGTGACGCCACGGAGAGCCACGAGGATTGCCGAAGGCGTACGATCAATGTCGGAATGAGCGGATACGCTACCGTCCATCGCTTCTTCAAACTCGCCGAGATGATGCTCCTTTCGCGCCGCCGGGGATGCTAGCGATCCTTTATTTCCGTTGTCGAATATTTCAACATGTACATTTTAACAATTTTTTTGCTTTTTCTTCTTCTTTAAAGGCATATCATTAAAAAATGTATTTTCTTGTATATCGAAAATACGGACTTTGAAAAAAAAAATTGCACCGTAAATATGACAAATGCTGAGAATGTCATTCCTTATCTTGTTTTGTTGTTTGGCTAATTTTGAACGAATCAAGTAAAGATTAATGCTGATATAATTTCTGCTGATATTGATATTTATTATAGATATCGAAAGCGTCCGATAATGAACTTATACGCAGACAAATTAAATGACGCTTGAGAAGTCCTTTTTCATATATTTTTAGCGTCAAAATTTCATCAGCGAAATTATATTAACATTCTTGAAATAAAACCCCGAAGACGATCTCGGTCGTCATCAACCATAAGTATGTCGATCAGTCAAACGTGATTATGTTGGCGTGAATCTTTTTTACGTTCTTAAAAATTGTTAATATTCAAGATTGCCACAAAACTGGAAATCAGAATAATATCAGACAAATAAAAAATAGTCAGAGAAAGGAAGGAAAAATCAGGGAATTTTGCAAAATTTTTTGAAAAATTAAAATTCTTGGCTTTAAAAAAGTTTAATATGAATACATTACATCTATGCAGTTTTGGAATTCTATCAACTTAATAATTAAATGCAATTGGTGTCAGCAACATTAATATTAATTTATGCTACATTATATTGCTCTCTCAACAAAATATGTATATTCGATGATTTCCAAATCAGGACAAAAATATAAAAAATTTCAAAATATTATTGAAAACATCAGGAAAAATTATGGAATTTTAGAATGAGGAATTTGTCGATCTTTTAGATCGAATATCAGAATTGATTTTAAATGGCTCTGGCTTTTTCGAAATCGGATGCATTCGCTTATTCCCCCTCAAATTCACTCGTGTCTATGCTATGTATATCTTTTTCTGCACGTTCGCTCGGCTTCCACAATTATTTTTGTCTTTCCCAGGAGGTGAACTGAGGGCATGCCGCGAAATTCCCACGTGCTGCCGGGGCGGAAAGAATTCGACTTGTTCATCGGTATCTACCATCCGCAAAGTGCTGTTCTTATCACGCTTTCCTCGTTCCTTGCACTGCAATTCATTCGAAAAAGACTTACTTTTTTATTTAAGCTCTTATTAAATTGTATATTTCTTGTAAAAATTCGAGTTTGTCTTTACTATTTTTTATTCGAACAAATAAAAATTGTATAAACTTTGGAAATAAGTTTAATTAAAAAATTTCTATATTTTTTCTCGTTTTACAACAGATATTTTTTACTATTAAACGTCATTATTTTACGCTAATTTATATAAAAATCAAATATTTGTCACATAAGTTCTGGTTGTTGTTTAAAAATGTAATTTAATTAATTTTTACGACGAGGAAATTATATCTTTAATTATTTAATGTAAACGTCCTTTTTCACATTTCATTTAATAAACAGAAGATTCGAGCGAAGGCTATCTTCTCGCGCTTTGCTGCGATTATTTCTGAGATTTTTCTCCTTTTTTTTCAAGGATACCACATGAAATTCCCAGATTGTTTTGCCATTTCGACGTACAAGAGATTCGGACTTGGAATTAACCGCCAAGAAATCGGCCGTTTGTGCTGGCATAGCTTTTCACATTCCTACGACTCTCCTTCCTTCCTCCAGGGACAAACAATGTTAACGACCATACGAAGGGATCGGGATTCCATCTCTACTGCAATGGGCGATACATAAATAGGTCTACGCTTTTACTCGAAGACCAGATATGCGTACTTGTGTTACTCTTCCTTTTTGTAAGCGATTATTTTTAGAGGTCCGACGGAATTTCACGCTTCTCTCTTTCTTTTTCCGTCTCTCTATCTTCTCTTGCTTTCTCAAACTCTCTTTGATGCATCTCTTTAACTGCGCGTCATGCTCTCTCTCTCTCTCTCTTTCTCTCTCTCTCTCTCTCTCTCTCTCTCGTTGCAGTTTGAATTTTTGGAACGTCGTCTCGTTAGATATGCAAAAAGAAGATGAAGATTCCTCAAGTACTTTTTGCTTTTACCGAGTCAAGTCATCGGGAAGTTCGTGGTAGCAGCGAGCTTTTGCCAGTTCAGAGTTCATTTACTCCTCTTCCGTATAGATTCAAGTATTTCTACAAGGATTCTGAATCTTACAATTTACGTATATGCGTAATATACGTTTTTATAATATTTTTGAATCTGCAAATATTGACAGAATCTTCTGCATGGAACAATAAAGATCATTTCATATGCTTATATGTTATTACATGACGACTCGCAGAAACATTCCGCGGTGGCAATATGTAATTAACCCTTCCTCTGTAATTTGAGTCTTTTTAATACAAAGCAAAATTTCTCAAATTTTTCCAAATAAAGAGGAAAGAGTAGAATCCGGTTTTTTTCTTTCCAAAATATCAAATAATATTTATTTTGTATTATTATATAGAGATGATGTTAAAAAGTACACAACTCTGAATTTTTTCACATTTTTTGAAAATCTAGAACAGTAAGAAAAACTGAGCAAATCTTTGGTTGGACAAAAAAGGATCCAGATTCAGATGAAGACATTGAAAACATAATTGCAGACGGAGGACATTCAAACATCATGTGCTAAATTAAATGCTTACTATTCTCCTAAATAATTTGAATTGATGCAGTATTTATTATTATAATAATTATATTTAACAATTATATTAATCATTCAAAATACGTAAATAATACAGATCAATGTATAAAATTTTCGCTTAAAATCTATGCTAATTTGCATCAAAATAACATGATATAATCCCTAATGCGTTGAGTATCAAACTTTATTAGCGATTTAACCTCCGGGGATTGACCTTAGATGTGTTGTATGCCTGTCGCGTGGGCCACGGGCTGGTTTGCGCATGGTAAACGTGAACTAGAGTTCGACGTCCGGCTAGAGAAATTATATCATTGGCAACACACAAGTAGGATGATTATCCTGGCGATGACATTCATTGGGTCGGTTTATGCCTCGGCATAATTTGTTGCCAACTGACTTCATCGGATCAAACTCACTCTTGGAAATGTGTGCGTGTATGCGTGTATAGGTACATATATTTGTTTGCTGCCGCCTTATGCGAGTGTGGCGCTCGTATACCGAAAGAATCAGCATTTCTGCCGGCTGTGCACCATATACATATGTATGTGCACATTTCTTGACTATCAGGCGAATATATTTTCGCTCGTAATATACATGTGGGCAGACTTGGTGAGCGAACGAAAATTGAGTCACGATTAACTGCTGCTATCTTATCAAGACAGGAATGCATGAACTGCGATTATCGAGACGGTATAGTCGCGATAATAAGCAGCCAACGTTGCTGTGTTCCAAATTCGTATCCGATTACTGTCTGATTGTATCTGAAAATACGGAGAAACGTTTTGCTACCTTCTTCTGCTCTCTAAATTCTTTAACGTGGAATTCATTTTAAAGAGTAAAAATTCAGTCAGTCTTAAAAAAGAATGACTCAATTTTCAATATTTAAGAGTGAGATTTTAATCTTTGGAATGAGATTCACTTTGAAAGTTTTAGAGAGTTACGATCGAATTGATCCCAGTACACACTATGATTCTGTAATTTTTAACAGTTCAGTATTATATTATTATTGACTTTTCTATCTGTATAATACCTGTCCAATAACAATAAAACGACACCGTTGTTAAAAGTTACAGAATCGGGATACAGGACAATCGCATCTTTGAGTGATTATTCCAATAAGATTACACATTGTTTTTTCATTTAAAACTATTGTTCTATTATTCAAAGCTTGAAATGTTTGTAATACAATTCATTATCCGTTATACATTATTTATCATCCAGCGATCGTATCTATCGGTATGATACATTTAGATCGGAATAATGGAAAATGGCTTAGAATAATGGAAATACTCAGGAAATGTGATTTCTACAAATATGTTGTGTATCATTATTTGATCTTTGATCTTTCACTCATCCGATGTCTTTTTAATAGCAAATTCATTGAAGTCTGTTTCGCGGAAACATTGAGGTGTCTGTAACTTTTGATTTATATGCGATTAGGGAAACAAAGAATTTCACAAATATAAATATTTTGAAGAAAATGACATTTCAATTTCAAGAATTTATCTTAATAAAATTTTAATTCGAGGCATAATTACAAAAATATGACATAAAATAAAATATTGGAAAGTTGAAATAAATTATAATAGTCTGTAATATTTTTACTTAAGAGCTAATTGAAATTGTTACTGAAGACCAAAAAATTTGTACTTAAAGGATATTTTACTTTTTAAAATTTATCTGTGGAAAATTAAACACTTTCCGGAAAAAATAAAGTTATTTGAAAGATTGATATTTCCGTATTCGAAAAATCTATATCGCGATAAGTGAGTTTACTTAACATATGTTGATTCGCAACGATACAGATAATATCATTTATCACGACTCTATTCCTGTTCGCGACCATGACGCGACTATCACATTAAATTCCCGGTAATAAGAAGACTACTGTGCGACGATCCTCTTTGTGCTAAACGTGCTCTCGGTCAAAGATAGCTTTCGACGATGTTTTGACATTCCGTCGCGGCCCCGTGATAAGGCGGTTCGCGGGAGGACTCAATATAGCACCCGACAATCATCCCAGTGGAATGCTCGGGATATCTGATCCCGATTTCTCCGAAAGCCGCGGCCCACGGCAAGGGTTATACACATTCCCGACGTGAAAGGGATTCCGATCTCCCCCGCGCGATCACGGACGCTCAAATGTGCGCAGTACTGAACGTTATGAATATCGAAGTCAGATACTCTCCCCGAGATCGTTGAAATACATAGATATAACACGAAAATAAATTCTCGTATATATTCTACATTTTTATGGACACTGATCAAAAATGATCATTTTATTAAATGAAAATGAATTATAACAAAAGATAGCATTAGCACATCGTTTTGTTATAGTTAGATAAAATATAACTAATACTTAATAATTATGTTTTATGAAAACAAAATTTGTAATAGATAGATAAAAAAATAGATAACAAAATAATATTTCTTTATTTGTACATAAATCTGAAAATGGAATTTTTTAAAATGTCTAAAGTTATCATATCGATAAAATATGAAACATCTAAAAAGCAATGAACAATTACTAATACGCTATTTTTAGAATTGATACAGAAAAATTATATAAAAATTGTTATTGTTATAACATTATATAAATTGTGTATTAATTAATATAATTAAAAGAGAAAATTTCCTCTTGCGAGATTTATGGATTAATAAAGTTGCAATTTGAATTAGAGATTGTTATTTCCTATGCAGAGAAATGAATGTCATCATAAATGTCTACATAGTAATTTTAAATTTATTATTTCTTTTTCTGGATGTCATTAATTACGTAATTTGTAATCACAATTTTATTGTATTATTAGCTCGTTACGTAAATTATTAGGAATTTTTTTTTTTAATTTGTTTTGCATAAATTTAATGATTGTTGTATTCGAGCACAAACACTCATGGGCTTGAATAATATAACTCTTTAACGTAAGCAACGAAAGACATAATAAATGACCACAGCTAAAATTGGTTGACGGATTGAAAATCGCATTCTTATCGTCGAGGACAATCAACCAATTTTTTTGCAATGTGTCGCTTCAAATGATAAGATAATCTTTGTGAATGAGGAAATAATCAGAAAATCTTGATAGTATAAATTGTGAATCGCGACCTTGTCGAGAATGTGTCGTGTACTTGCGAAAGTCGTAAAAAATGGCAAAACGTTATCATTATATATTTACAATATATTTACAAAAAATTATTTTTTGTACAAAAATAAATTTAAAATTATTAGTACAAAGTTTTTTTCGCCGAAAAATTAGAACTTTCAAATTAGAACAAGAAAATTAAAACAAGATGCAGTATCCTTTTATTTTATGACATTAATATAAAATACTTTATACATTAGTGATTTTGCTTTTTTATCATTATTGATGTATAGAAGATTGATCATTGATTGA